AACCGACTCACCCAAACATCAAAACCACAACCAAAACCACAACAACCACAACACATACCCTCTTACCAACACCCCACCTCCCACATCCCCTCCGCCCCATTCTACTCACCCAGCAACCACCCTCACTGTCAACATTTGCCGGTGAGACCCAAATAACGCCTCCGCCACATACGGTGTTTCAGCCTTTTTGCCGTTGGGTCTCAGATCCTGCAGCCCGAAACTGAGGCTGTGACGAGGCTGTGTAACGTGGATGAGGCCGAGGTTGTTGGGTGGGTGTCGCCGAGGAGGGGCGGTAGGTGGGGAGGGGCGATGTGTGTTGTGGATGTGGGAGGGGAAGTGGAGAAGAGATGTTGTTAATAATAGTTGGAGGGTATGAAATTTCACTGGTATAAGGAAGGTTCGATCGTGGTGATGTGGTTCTTGCTTCCCGAGTGGTATCGTAAAGGCCACGCGCGCTTTGCGCCTCCCAGCACGACCGTCGCCGTCCGCATCTAGTCTCCACCCTCCGAATTCCACACTTCTTCGAACATTATTGACACCCAGGAAATCACTCATGCGCAACGCTCTTCACAATGGCCCGCGATACGCTCTCGTATCCCGTAATCCCGTAATCCTAGCCTCGTATCCTGAGGCTGGGTCGAACTCAGGGTCCAAGCGATGCCGAACGGGATCTACGACGTGGCGTTATCCGGGTGTATGCACGACATCGTCCCTGATCGGTAAGGGTGGCTTTTGAGTTATATGAAGGACTGTTCGTCTGCCGCTCCTGGAAAGAGGACGGGTAGGGGGTGGGTGTGGAGATGGGAGATTATGCGGGATATGCGGATCTTGCGGGGGAGGTTGCTCTTTGGGAAGGCAGTGCGATTGGAGGAAAGGTGAGGTTTACGGTATGATATAGAGGTCTGACGTGAAATGGGGCATCAAGCTGAACATCCGCATCCGGGTTTGCCGTAGTGTTTGAAGTCGTCGTAGGCGGTTCTGACGATAGTCTCGACCGACTCTGATTTGAGTCCGAGTACATAGTTTGAGTTTCGATTCCTGAATGGTCTTGAAGCGTCTAGTTGTTCGTCATACAGCACGCTGCGCTCGAGCAGAAACATGCCAGAGTCGGGGAATCCTTTTTCTATTCTCTTCTCTCCCTCTGCAACGCACTCTTGAACATCGTGATTTCCGACGGTAAACTCACGGCCAGTCGTCTTTTCAGTAGATCTAAGGACCTCGTTGGCGGACGTTATGACGCCTGCAGCGTATATGTATTGGTTCCTGACTTGGTCCCAGTGTGAGATGACGCGTTCCACGACTCGGCCAACTCTCTCCAAGCTGGAAGCTGCGAAAGCTTCTGTACCGATGCCATGGATAGTCGCGCTATGCCATTCGAGATCAAAACCCATGTTGCCGCTGATAAGCTGGGTATCCAGCGTATAGCCTGTCGCAATCGCAGTCCATTCGAAATATGGGTAATCCTCCCGCATGCTTCTCAGATGAGCAATGACCTTCGCTCGGCCGGCATCTTTTGGAATGCGCGTCTGTATCTGCTTGTTCATGCTATCGTGACTGAATTCATCAGGGATGAAGCGCCTGACGCCGGCGGCGATGGCGGCGTTTATTATGCGGATTTGTTGCTCTGCATCTCCGCCTGACATTGTGCTTATGACCAAGTCTTGTCCAGTCATTACTGATTGCAGTGAAGCAGACGAGTAGCCGGATTTCTTGTGCTGTACATCGGAGGCCTTGACGTGAGGTGGCAGGCTGAGGGTTTGTGAAAGATAAGTGAGCACAGTGACTTGATATCTGGGTGTTCCTTGTCGTTTTTCCTGTGGGAAGAGGGCGTTGAGAATGGTGAGGCAAAGCTCCCAGTTCTGCGCATGTTAGCCATTCGATACCAGTCAGCCCATTCCGCGTCTTACTCCTAATATCATGATCTTCTCGATGGCCATGTTGGCGTTTTTGGAATCAAGGGCAGGTGAGGAAATGTCACACGAGTGCAGTAAGCTTCACCTTTACATAGGTTGGAAGGTGAGGCCCCCCGCACTTGACACGGTTGAAAGGAAGAGCCAACACTAGCTCATTTCGTCATATAAAATAGGACCAGAAATGAAGCTGTAGAGGTCTGTGATATCCATGCGGATAAGAGATCCGACATTCTCTACACCAATCATCATGTTGGGAGTACTGTGCAAACCTTAAACTCTAGTGTTAGGCAGTCCGGCGGCGTGCAGCAGGGGCGTTCCAGAACATGAACAAAGGCTATCGTGAAAGGGGATGCGCTGGGTGGAGGCGACAGTATAGGAGTCTCGAGAACTTCCAAAGACGCAACGTGTGATACAGATGAGTAGTCGTGGGGAAGTGCGGAGTTGGGAGAGGAAGTAGTGCCAAGCCAGCGCACGGACGCGGCAACTTCCGGGATCGCAGCTGTGCGAGCTTTTGCGGACGACGATAGCAACACCACCGAAACTCCCGCGACCGCAACACCATCTCCCCTCATCTCCCCAGGCTTCGACCATCGCGTCCAGTGCGTCAATTCCCCCTCTCGCAGGCTCAGCCCCGCCAATTGGATCCCCACAGCAGCGCGCTGACCCGCAAAACTCCAGATAGCCCATCATGAACGCCGCCCGCTTCCTCCGCCCCTTCTCCAGGGCCGCCGCTGCCCGCGCGCCCATGGCCGTCCGCCCCTCCGCTCTGGCGCGCCCCGCCTTCATTGCGAGCCAGAACAAGAAGACCGAGGTTGGCCCTCAGCAGATGGTGAGATTGGAGTCTTGGATAGATCTGGAAGGGACGAAGGAAGCTAATACAAGTAACAGACTATCCTCAAGTCGGCCATGCCCCAGCTCATCCCCTTCTTTTTCGTCAACGAGACCACCGTGGCCTTCATCCTCCTGCCATCGCTCATCTACATCTTCTCCAAGTACATCCTGCCCCAGCGTCTGCGCATGTTCGCTGCCCGTCTCTTCATCAGCAAGTTGTAAGCGAGGAATTGGAAGGACCAGAAAGAGCCGATGACACTGTATAAGTAGTGGGAATATGCTCATAGACAATTCAATGGCATTGCACGAAGGATGGTGATTTGTGGAGTGATGACTACAGGGCATTTTTCGATGTCTGACCGATGTCTCGAGCTCGCTCACGATAATTCGAGCAAGGACGCATGAGCTGGACAAGTTGCGGAGAGGACCCAGTGTGTTCAGAGCGACAACCCCGCATCTATCAACGGTAGCTGTGTTTATCAAAGCAGTGAAGAACGAACATGTGGGGCATCCCTTCAGCTTACCAAGCTCAAGCCTTCAAACATTAGTACTCCACAGACAGTCAATCTGCACGATCTACACCTACGGCAACAGCATCCTATGATCTGTTCTCGAGCGGCATTTCGAAAGCGCGTTTCGTCGGCACACAACCATGAGTCGACCTGCCAAGTTCTGATGCGTACCCAGCTACTTCTAGCAAGGTCCCCTTTCAATTTGGCGAGACTTGCTACTGCAGAAGCTGGACATTGATATTAGACGTGTTAGTACCCACGACCACCTGGAGTGTCTGTCCTATCTTTGCGTAGACTCAATCTTGAATCTTGCTTCCCTGCTTATCACCACGGCACTACAAGCACTTTCCTCACTCTTGATCTTCCGAATTTTCTTCACACTGCCTGATGTGAAATACCGATCAACAACATGCGCAGCAACTGCGGTCGTGATAGCGCGGCTGAAGAGGCTGTCTCGGATCACCTGCTTACATACCTCTTGGCAAGTCCGACATAAGACCGTGACAACGGACAGATCTGACAGATCTGGCATGCGCATGCATTCTTCCGTCCTTTTGCATGCTGTTTCTCTACTCACTACATCGCTTCCAGCACATAAGGGCCTATTTCGACGAAGTGCTTCATTTCATATGCAAGTGATCTGCTCCGAAGCACACATGCAGGTACCCATAATGGCGCAAACGCCCAAGACCGGGAAGACCCCGCGGCACAAACGTCGGGACATTACGCATCGTGGTGTACGTGGTATAAAGTGAGGCAGTGTAGCTTAGCTTCAGGTTATATACGTCGACTTCAATCCTGAACGCTTCATCCAAGTCTACTCACCATGAAGTCCACTATCATCACTGCCCTCCTGGGCTTTGCTTCTCTTGCGGTCTCCGCGCCTGCACAACTTGTCGAACGTCAAGGGACCCTCGAGCAGGTCACAGACAGCTACATGTTCGACATTTCCATTGCGGAATTCATTGCCAACCGTAACGGAAAGGTCGGCCCTCCAGAACTGAACTGGGACAGCAATGGTTGCACTGCTAGTCCAGATAACCCGTTTGGATTTGACTGTAAGTTCCCTTACCTGAATTCTTTCAAATTCCGTGTTCTCTCCAAGCTTCTCATGTACCAAATACACAACACTAATAATTGCAGTCATCAACTCATGCTACCGCCACGACTTCGGTTACCGCAACTACAAACAACAAGGCCGCTTCGATGCGATGAAGGCGCGCACCGATAGTAACTTCAAGACGGACATGTTCAACCAGTGTGCGACTGAGAAGGCAAAGGGACCGTGTGAAGCTACTGCTACGTTGTATTACGAGGCTGTCAAGGCGTTTGGAAAGCGGGAAGAGGAGATGGCGGAGTAAATGATGAATGTTTGATGCGTTCGAATGTCATGGTGTCACGTTAGAGAGTCATGAGAGTACCCAAAACGATAGTCATCAATCTCGGCAGTAATCGATAAGCCACCCTCGGCGCCTTCCCACTCCAGCGCCAATCCCAGCACCCCCATGAACCTTCCAATCAACAACGTCATGCCCTCAGGGTCCAAAACAATAGCTCAACCGCCCATCTAATCTTCCATACCTCCATCTGACATTTCCACACCATTCCATCATGCATCACTCTGTTGACTCTAACCCTTTCCCACTTACCCAAACCCGTTACTGCCCGCGACACCGACCGAGGTCATCCGAAGTCGCAGACCCTGTGATGCATGCGCGTGGGCTCGCTCTTGGCGCCCGACAATATGGCCGACCATGAGCACCAGGTATACGAGCTCACTGCAGCTACGTCTGCCTCAGAAACGGAACACGACACGATGCCGCCGGATGAGCTGGAGGAGACATGCGCTGTGGATGCGCGGTTGCACAAGAGGACGTTGAGGAAACTGGACTGTTTACTCTTGCCGTTTCTGGCGTTGCTGTTCCTGTTTAATGCGCTGGATAAGTCGAATGTACGTATACGCGTATTGTGGAGGCAGAACAGTTGCTAATGAATGCTAGATTGGAAATGCAGAGTCTGCGCACTTTACGGCGGATATCGGGTTGGACAAGGGAGCGCTGAACACGGCGGTTGCGCTGTTCTTCGCATTCTTCGTTGCGCTGCAACCGCTTGGTGCGGCGCTGGGGAGGAGATATGGCATGGTGCTTTGGGTGCCTAGTTGTATGCTTCTTTGGGGTGTCTGCACGGCGCTTCATGCGTGGGTGAGGCATAGGTGGCAGTTGTATACGCTGCGCATTCTCATCGGGTGTCTTGAAGGTAAGTCGCCTACCCAAATTCAACAGCGTCTCCGCCGCCGAGCACATGATTTCGCACTCATGGCAGTGATGGTACCCAAGAGACCAGCGAGAAATGGACCCAACGCTTGGACATTGCGCATTGCTCTTTCCTCCTTCGACCGTCGCTTCCTCTCCAGACTTCAAAGCTAACGTCTCTAGCCGGATTCTACCCAGTCACCGTCACCTACCTCTCCCTCTTCTACACGCGCTTCGAATTCGGCAGACGGCTCTCCTTCTTCTACGGTCAGGCGGCAGTTGGTGGTGCGCTTGGGGGCCTTATAAGCTACCTTGTGTTCTCCCACTTCGGAAACGACGATGGACGTTCAGACAAAGATTGGAGGCCGTGGCAGGTGCTCTTTCTACTGGAAGGCACTCTCACTATCGTGGTGGCATTCATCGGATACTTCTGGCTACCACACAGCGTGGAGACGGCATGGTTCCTCACACCTGAAGAGCGTCGATATGCGTCTTCACGTGTAGTGAGAGACAGAGACATACAGAATGCGCCGGCAGCAGTCCAAGAGGATGATCGAGAAGCGGAAGAAACCTACGATGAGGAGTCGCGCGGTCTTCTCGACTCATCCAAGCACTCGATCACCTCAGCCACGCCGTCGCGACAGCTGGTCGACGATCGTGGTCTAAGCCCTCACGACGTCCTTTCATCAGTGTTCAACACGAAGATATGGCACATCCTCGCCTGTAACGTTCTATCTGCGATCCCAGTCTATGCTTTCTCTGTCTTCCTCCCGCTTGTACTGGCACCATTGGCGAAGAAGGCGAATCCTGCGCTCATCAACTTGCTCACTGCACCGCCACACATTTGCGGAGCCATAGTACTGTACTTCGCAGCTAGCTACAGCGACAAACATCGCATACGGCTCAAGCCCATACTGCTCGGCCTATTCATCATGGTAACCGGCCTGGTAGTCGTGGTGCTGTTACCGTCCTCGTGGGCAATACCCCGCTACATTGCTCTCAACATCCTCCTCTCTGGTACCTACGTTGCCTCTCCGCTCACTGTAGCTTGGATTTCTGGTAACACCCCGTCACCTGGCAAGCGCGCGTTGCTGCTTGGTATCAATGGCTGGGGTAACCTTGCTGGAGTCATCTCAGCGATCCTTTTCCGACCAAAGTATGCTGCGGGTGGCTACATCGTGCCTTTCTGGTGGACGCTTGCATCTGTAGCATTAGCTGCTCTGGGTTACGTGCTTTTCCTTCGACGCTTGAAGGCTGAGAACGAGACGCGACAGAACATCTTGCGCAAGTGGAGCGAAGACGATGTCGAAGCGGAAAGGCTCCATGGCAAAGGCCCGGCGCCGCAGCAACGGCGGTGGCTTAGGCGAGCCATCAACGTGACGCGGTCGCATGCGAAGCTTGCTTGGCTGGCTGACTGGCTTGAAAAGGCTGCGCGATCTGGTAGGGAGGGTGACGATAGGCTCACGTTCGTCTACGGACTGTGAGGCGCAATTCGCAGCGCGACGCCATTAACGACTATCCTATTCAACACCTGGCTTAACATCATTCCATAGGCGAATGTGGAGTTAGCGACATGCACGTCTGTCAGCTTTCATGTCTCGAGCGGGGCGTTGGGCTATCGAGATGAGGTCCAGCCTCAGCCTCGTGACGCCACAGCCGCCACCATTCTGCCAGCTGAAAAGCGATTGACTGATAGTAAACCTAACCGATTCACTTCGATCTTCCCTTGTCTTACCACACTCACCGGCCAGCACAAGACAGAAGACGTTCCAAGCCTGTCTACCATCGCCAAGCAAACAGAAAAGGTCTCATCCATCGTACCGCGGGCGCGCGACCCGTACTCAGCTTTAGACAAGGCCGCAGACGAGACGACAAATACGACTATGCCCAACGGTACACAATACCACACATGGAAGCCAGAGCCTTTGGTTCGCGGCACATTTTCGATACTCTCGTCTTCTCTTTTGACGATGATCCTGTGTGTCTGGACATCCGTCCACTTGAACATCCCTGAGCACGAAACGGACAAGGTGAAGGCGCAAACCTGGCGAATCGCACCGCAAACCTGGCGGAAATTGCTCTGGATGGTTACAGCAATCTTTGCTCCAGAATGGGTGAGTCTGATCACTTTGCCGCACGGTTGGCCAACGTTGATTTCGATTCAAGGTCGTCTTTACTGCCTACTGTCAGCATGTAGCGGCAAACGAGATGGGGAAAACGATGAGGATGGCCTTCGGTCAGCCAGAATCTCCAAGTTTCATCACGACGTTACGGAGAAAACTCAATCTCGTCTTGCGATGGTTCTCTGATATCCTGAAATGGATTAAACTCAAGATAAGACCGATCGAACAAGTTAGGCAACCTATCCAGCAGGAGGATGTGGAGCTTGATTCCAAACCTAAGAGATACCCTTGGACACGGGCACACTCCCTATACGCCACGATGGGCGGCTTCGTCGTCGATACTCGGGATCTGGGTCTGAACTACCTTCCCGATGGTCGACAGAGGATAACACTAAAACGGCATGGTCTCAAGTTCCTCGCTGACAACACACCTGATATTGTCCCGGATCTACCCGAATCTGCGATAGTGGACAAGAGCAAGGCAAATGCATTCACGAAGCTTGTGACATGCGGACAAGCGCTATGGTTTGGCTTACAGTGTGTAACACGGTCGGCTCAAGGCCTTTCCATCTCGCTACTCGAGATCAACACCGCTGTACACGCTATCTGTACCTTGATCATGTACTTTCTTTTCTGGTGGCACAAGCCTCTTGATGTTGAAGAGCCGACCATTCTCACACATGCAGACACACATCCAGTGATTGCACTCCTACTTATTAGTCAGATGCATCGAGACGTTCACGTCTCACCCATGGACTTGGAGGACGACAACGCTCTTGGCTTATTCCCCGACTCTGGAACAGCGATCCACCACCCCAACTTGAACCATATCTTGCTCAAACCATCGAAGGACCCGAGATTTCCGCCGCCACTTTATGTCGTATATTACGGGTTTGCTATTCCCATGTCCAAATCTGTTTCGTTACAAATCGTCGATCATTTTACCGAATCAGACTTCAAACGCTTGAAGCTCGCTTCGGAAGCTATCAGAAAATATGGGTCGCACGATGAAACTCTCCGTCGCACGATTCCGTACGTAGGAAGAGACTACTACTTGAATGTACGTTCGCGCAATCGGCCCATTTCAACAAATACGGATTTGGACGTGGAACTTTTCCAGGCCGTCGGATTTCCTCTTGCTGGTCTCTTCTACGGCGGTGTACACCTTCTAGCTTGGAACCGGCCTTTTCGCAACGAGACAGAGAAGCTGCTGTGGAAGATAAGCAACTTCACCATTCTGTTATCAGGCATCCCAGTGGTGGTTCTGGTATGCTATTACGTTTTGCGTGTGAAGGTTCTCGGACGTCTCCCTAAACGGGTCCTTTCTGCCTTGCGAATATTTGGCCATTTATTCTTTTGGGTATTCACGCTGTTTTATGTTTTATGCAGGCTGTTCGTTATCGTAGAATGTTTTCTAGACGTCTTTCACCTCCCGGACTCGGCTTTCGAAGTTCCAAGGTGGTCGCAGTATTTCCCGCATGCATGAAGACAGAACGCATTCGTACACGGAACGAGTGATTGCTGTATTTCAATCTACTGGGTTTGTGCAATGTCGCACACATCTGTTTGAAACCGCTGTGAGCTGACTGACAGGAGAATCCCTCTGGAGACAGAGACATGATAATCACTTGGTGATGATGCCGAGACAAATCAGGGAGTTCGACTTACACAATGGCGCAGCTCGAGATCATGTCTTCTACTTTCTGGAATTCAAGCAGGGTGTTTACGTAGTCGGCGATGTTGCGCGAGCGGTATGTGCGATTCCCATCGTGTCCAACGCTGACGTTGCATGCCGGTGTGTGACAACCTTCAGCCCTAACAATGTGCGTAGGTACCCGTCTCGCAGTCCTCCAATGTCTTCACTCCCCCAAACCCTCTCGCGATTTATTCCTCGGTGCTCGGCAGCAGCAGCACTCTACACCTGGGCGGTGTAGTTCGGCTACCCGGCAGTTTCACACTCCTCCTCGCAACACGCAGAATCGCCCTCGACGAAACCAAAGCATCAGTGCCGCTTGCACTCAAACCAAGCTCTCCTCGGTCTTCACGCTCAACTCGTTCACGACCGTCATGCCTTGTGCGCCTAGAAGCGCCTGAACCTGCATGTCACAGACCTGTCGCCTAAATCAGCCGTTTAACCGCAGGTTCTTCTACGTTTTACATATTTCCCCAAGGTCCCGAGGTCCTCAAGGCCGCATGTTTGAGAAGGCAGCAAGTGTTTCAAGTGCAAGGCAGCGCTTCGGTTTCGCTTGTTCGACTCGGGTTTGACGGCACGCTTGCGGTTGTCTGGTGTGGCGTTGGTGAGAGATGGGGTGAGACGCGATTTTCGTACGCCACAACCAAGGTGTTAGTTCGGGAGAGAAGCGCATCGTAAGTACATTGTATCTCGAGAGACTGAGAATAACAGTACACGGTTCCTCCTCGGCCATACCCCCTACACACAAGAATCATTGTTTTGCCCGCGATCCCTCGGTTTGCCAGACCCGCCAGGGCCCGACCACCCGGCCAAAGGTTTGAGATGTGCATGATCGCCTGCCTGCGACTTGCCTCAGGATCACCGTCCCAGGATACCTTTTATGGAAAGCAGCGAAATAGGCATCAATGCTCTATACTCAGAAGAAGGAGAGCCTCTCATAGCAAGTATAAAGCTCGCATCTACGCCAGCCCATAGTTCCTTTCTCAAGCCAGTCTTCCAATTCACATCTACATTTATCCTTATTCACTACCCGCTGTGCGGATCAGATTACTTTCACTCACCTATCAACTATTTTCGAATAATCAGTTGCTTAATAACTCGAAACCAAACCAACAAACTTCGCCTACTTCGAAAAACCTCCCGCCAAAATGCAGTTCTCCATCACAGCCCTCCTCTTCGGCCTCGTCGCCGTCTCCTCCGCCGCCATCGCCGACGTAGAGAACGTCCGCAACACCCCCCGCGCTATACTTGAGAACCGTCAGGCTGCCAACGGCGCATGCTGTATCCCCGAACAATCGCTCAAGCAGGATGCTTGCACTGTTAATGGTGCGGCTGGAAAGTGTGTGCCTGGAGGACCTGCTGCGTGTACGTATATCCGAGACCCTAACACCCCGATGAGTTATTTCGAGAGAGAGGGGGTGTATGAGAGAGAGACATATACTGACATAAACTAAGGCAACGGCGCTCTCAACTGCGTAGCCAACGACCAGCTCGTATGCGACAACAACGTCCAGGAGCGATCCGGCAACTTGTGCCGTTTCCAGGCTGCGAACGGCAAGATTCAAGATGGTGCTCAGCAGATTAACAGTTTGGCTCAGGCTAAGGTTAACTAAGAGAGTGGAAGATGGGGGTTTGTGTTGGGAGTTGATGGGTGGATCTTTATAGCTAGGTGGATGGATAAATGTATTTGTGGATTGAAGAATTGTCTTGCGTGACTGGATGTTTGGAGTGATGTGGTAAATGCCAAGTCGCAGGTTGGAGCGGATGGCAGTGTGCTCACTAAAAGTTATTACGTCTTAGCTCTTTTGAAGCACATGGCTTCTATCGTATATTGGTTATTTTTAGTGTTTCGGTACACACGTACATATGCCTGAAGTCAGTTCAGAGACTCGTGCTCTGCAAGCCCCAGAGCACGTGTTACTATAAGCAGATATTTCTCTTCTGATGCGAAGCTCTTTCTTCTTAAAAGATATACTGCTCAAGCTCAGATGTATTGATCAATTCATATATTCGTGTATCATACCCCGTATATCTTCATCTGCCCGATAGGCCATAATTCATATCACATCCATCTACCGTCCCCACCCCGCAAACCGTCCAATCTCCTTAACCTCCCTCCTGCCGACAACACCCGCCGCAACAGCACACACCGCACCGACACCAACGAGCAGCGCGCGCGCCAAGTTCAAACTAGCCCACTTGTCCATCAATTCCTTGACTGTCTCGCCTTCCTTGGCAAACTGCTCGACGTGCTTGTCGCGCAGGGAGGCGTTGGCGAGTTCGTCTTTCTTGGCCATGAGTTTGTTGTTTGTGGGGCCGAGGACGAGGATCGTGAAGGGCACGATGGAGGGGAGGAGGAGGGTTGCGAGAGCGTTTAGGCGGAAGGGGGTGGAGGTGCGGTCTTCTGTTGGGGTATTAGATGTGTGACGGCTTGAGGTATGCATGGTGGGTGGATAGTGTGGGAGTTGGGGGTTGGAAGGGAGATAGAGATGAGTCAAAACGTACGGTGGTAAGCCAAATACCCCGTTGCCAGCGCCGAGATGGCAGCAAGAGGGCGGGCGATTGCGCCGCCGCGTGTGAAGATTGTGTACCACTGCTTTACGGCGAGGGGTGCGGGGGCCTGCATGGCGGCGGGAATGCCGACGACGGAGAGGGAGACGTTGGAGCCTGGTATACTTGTCAGTATCAATCCTCTTAAAGGTCTATCTTCCCATTGGCCGCGATTGAGATGGCCATTGAGTGCCAGAGTGTCTTACCAACCAGGAATACACTGCCTGTGATGCCCACCGCCTGCGCGATTGCCAGCGCCGTGGGCGTCTTTTGCGTGAGGATATCCATTGCGTATGTGTAGATGAAGATGAAGATGCTTCGATTGAGGTAGTTGAAGCGAAGTATTTGACTTGTCAAAGCGGTGGCCTGACTAACAGAATGAAGGTCGTGGTCGGCGTGATAGCTCGGAGACGCGCTGCAGGGCTTGGCCGTCAGGCTTCCCAGGTTCCCCGCGGATCCCGATCGCGTCCACTGAAGCTCCGCACTCCGATGCTTGCCATAGGTCAACCACCAAGCTCCGACTTCTTGCTTTTGCTGTCGATGTCATCACGGGGGGCTGGATGTGGCTTTCTTGTTGCACAAATCTTAATGTAGTTATATTCCTATTCCTAATTGTTGTGCCTGGGTGAGACGCGTCGCTTATTGCCGTGAAACTGTAGAAGCATCATCAACGAGCGCTCGACGTACATAAGACTAGCTTCTCTCGAGCTTCTCGCCGATAATTTTGCTTTTGGTCTTCGAGATTTACCATACTTACTATAATATACTCGTGCGCAATTTACACCAGGACTTACATAGAACAACATCCGCGCCGCAACCTGTGCCCCATCGCAACCCTCACCACCATCTAATCAACCATCAGACCAATCCACCAGCCATGTTCTGTACGTCTTCCACCCCTATTCCATACTCCCTCCCTAACAAACACCAGCTCTAAACACAACCGCGACCCTCCACCACGTAACGCACCTTCCGCGCTCCGTCTCCTTCGCGACAGCCGTCTCCCACCTCCACAACCACGTCCTCCTCATCCGCCTCGACCCCGAATACGCCTCGCACGAAGACCTACCCAGCGACCCCTCCACCCCAGACGCAAAATGCTACCGCATAACCGACCACATGAACGCGCTGCCCGCAGGCCTCTGGGACACAACCGTCAAGTTCGACGCACACATGACTGATCTCGACGACGGCGTATTATGGACTATCAAGGCGCCGTTGGGGCTCACACAGCAGACTACGTGGCGGTGTTTGAAGACGGAGGGGTTGAGTAAGGAGGATAGAGAGGGTGCTGAAGGGTGCGAGTGGAGTCTTGTGGAGGATGTGGAGATTAGGGCGAATAGGATGTTGGTGGGGACGGTCAAGGCGAAGTGTGAGGAGAATTGGCCGGGGGCGCATGGCAAGTTTTTGAAGTATTGTACGGGGGAAACGGCAGCATAGTGGGATATGGATGGGAGGGGGTCGTTCGGGTCTACAACATGCTGGAGTATCGCGACTTGGCCCTGGGGTATGAACATCCTGAGCACAGCGCAAGTCTGCATCATTAGATTTGCACCAGTTCTAGATGCGAACACTATCCCAGGTCTTTACGTTGAAATCTTCACGCTAAGATCAACGAACTCTTGTTGACAAACCTAATGGACAGACAGCTACAACGTGCTTGATGCAATCCTCACCCGCCCTTCAGGAAACATGGAGAAGCCCGGCTGAATGGTCCATGTGCCGTTGGGCCCAAGGACGTATTTTGCCTGGCGTCTGGGGCGAAAAGTATCAAGGCGGAGCCTCTGCATCTAGAAGACATCCAGATTGGCGGAATTTGTACCAGTGGCGGGTCGTGGATGTCGGCTAGACGCAAAAAGGCTGCTGCTGGTTGACCCTGCATAACACCAACTGCAGGTTGGAGACCTGACCCTGAATGCCGATGCCTTTGTCTTCATATCTTGAATCTGAAGCAAACGTCCATCTCGCAAGATGGGTGAGATGCCTGTAATCCAAGGCTCTTATCAGCTCACGCGACACTGCTTCAACGGTCAAGCGACCAATGTCTCTCTTCGGAGGTGCGCTGGTGACATCGGAGGCCGCACGTGGCGCGCCCCCGATCGGGCCTTCCGGATATACGCGATAGCAACGATAAGACATTGGACACCAGCAACTCGCTGCACATGAAAGAGCTGCACGTCGCTACTGCTGGCATCCTTCGCGTCACTTGGTCGCACACCATAAGCATCGCATCCAGATGCCCTCAAGTGATGCCCGCTCGCCTTGTCAGCCAACGGCCAAGACCCCTTCTTGAACCGAAAGGCTATTGATCGGCCTCACGCTCGCCGCATAACACGGGCCATATCCCCGCCTTTCTAGACTGCACTGAACTGCGCGTTCCGCCATCCGCTCAGCTATCAAAAACCGCGCACCCAACCACCGGGTCAGCGTCAGCTCCTCTTACGTTCGTTCCTTTTCGCTGGTACGGGTCTGTTCCCACCTTCTCTGCCTGCCATCTTGCTCCAGTAGACGTGACGATAACCTCACTTGGTCTTCGACTTCTTTGATCCTCCACCTTCCCCGCCCCGTCCCCCTTATCGCCGAGCACGCGTACCGCACAGCCACGCCCACCACGCTCACCATGGAGCCTTTATCCATCGACTCCGTGGTCGTCGACCACAGCGAAATGCGTCCCGCGCCGGGAACCCCACCTTCAGATGCCATCATGATCGAGCAGCCAAAGCTCAAGGGCAGACAGCGCCTTCTCATGGGTCTACAACGGATGGGCTCGTCCTCGAGCCTGGCGAACTTGGGTAGACCCCGCTCTCACAGTCTGAGAAGCGGCGGGAAGGCATCCATGTCTTGCGTCTCCCTCGCATCGCCTGGCTCGCCATATGGAAACTCATTTGGCAGTTCTTACTCCTCGGAACTGTCGAATGGCTTCTCTACAGCTCCTACCTCCGTCGCAAACAGCCCACCTGGCACACCCTTCTGGGATGAGAGGACTCGTCTGCGGATGAAGACACCAGATATCCCGTCCTCAGTGCCTCTTCCTTCTGCCCGACGACCCTACACTCGAGACGGCATCGAAGCCGAGAACGACTACTTCTCGCGACCCGTTCATAAGGTTCAGAGGCGGGCAAACTTCAACTTCTGGAGTGATATGCCCACTGAGATCCGCATGCAGATCCTGAGATACCTGGAGCCAAAGGAGGTTGTGCGTTGTTCGCGCGTCTCCAAGTCGTGGCATACAATGTGCTTTGACGGTCAACTGTGGAGTGACTTGGATACGAGCAAGTTCTACCGCGACATCTCCGCCAACGCATTGGTCAACATCATCACATCGGCGGGTCCGTTCGTGAAAGACTTGAACCTCAGAGGCTGCGTGCAGCTGAGAGAACACTGGGGCAAGGATGGCTTCATTGAGTCATGCCAGAACCTGGAGAACTTCTCGCTTCAGGGCTGCCGGATTGATCGGACATCTATCCACTGCTTCTTGCTTCAGAACAGTCGCCTTGTCCACGTCAATCTCTCGGGTCTTGCGGGCGCGACAAATGCGGCGATGAAGATCCTTGCTGCACATTGCCCGAAAGTCGAAGTCTTGAACATCTCATGGTGCAACAACATCGACAACCGAGGGTTGAAGAAGGTTGTTGAGGGATGCACGAAGCTGCGCGATCTCAGGGCAGGCGAGGTGCGAGGCTGGGACGATGTCGAGCTGATGGTCGCATTGTTCAAGCGCAATACTCTTGAGAGGCTTGACCTGAAGAACTGCGACAGTCTCAACGACGAGGCATTGGCTGCTTTGATTGAGGGCGTAGACGAAGAGGTTGACGTTCTTACCGATCGCCCAATCGTTCCACCAAGGAATCTCAAGCACCTGAACCTTACGCGCTGCCGCAGCATCACGGACGCTGGCCTGAAGACATTGGTACACAACGTCCCGTCTCTAGAAGGTCTTCAAGTCTCGAAATGCGGCGGCTTGACCGACGATGCCTTGACCAGCTTACTACCCACCGTTCCCGTCCTCACCCACCTAGACATCGAAGAAATCGACAACCTAACAAACGACGTCCTAAAGACCCTATCCGAATCCGCCTGCGCCCCCCACCTCCGCCACCTCTGCATCTCCTACTGCGAAAACCTAGGCGACGTCGGCATGCTGCCCGTCCTGAAAGCCTGCACCCGTCTCGCCTCCCTCGAAATGGACAACACACGCATCTCCGACCTCGTCCTCGCCGAAGCCGCCTCCGGCCTGCGCAACCGTAATCGTCTTGCCCGTGGTCTCACAAACTCCGAACGCCCCGAAGTAGGCCTCCGCATCGAAGCCTACGACTGCGCAAACGTAACCTGGACCGGCGTCCGCGAAGTCCTATCTCGAAACGCGGAAATCACAAGACCGAATTCGCGGTCCGCGAGTAAAGTCGCGACCTACCCAAGTGAAATCATCAAGTTGAAGTGCTTCCACAATTGGCAGCCGACTGTTGAGGAGCATACTAAACGTGTTCTGAGGGGTGACTTTTCGGCTGCGGCGAGGTTGGAGAGGAAGTGGGCGGATTGGATGATGTTGAATGAGGAGGCGGGGGTTGGTGGGGCGGGTGCGAGGCGTAGGAGGAGGAGGGCGAGAGAGGCGCAGATGATGCATGCGGATGAGGAGGAAGCAGGTGCGGGGGCTACGGGTGGGGGCGGGAGGAGACGCCGTGCACGAAGTGGCCCTGGTGGGTGTGCTGTGATGTGATTGTGTGGTTTTTGGTGTTGAGGCTTTCTCCACCGTAACTTTTTCTTGGGGGTCTATGGGTTGGCCCCAGGTTTGTGGGCTGATGCTGTGACGGTGGTTATGGCATGAGTATGATGAACATGAGTCTAGGATTTTCTTTTACGAGCGCGAACATTAGATCTCAACGAAGTTTTGGCCTTGGGTGTTTGGAGTTTGAGGCTGAGTACTCTTCTACATTCATAGATCAGCATGTGCTGCAGTACGGAGCTTCAATGTATCTCCATACCACTTTAACAACTGAATTCTCGAATCATACTGCGTCCCAACCTTGGAACGGGTTGAGTGATGTTAAGATCACCTTCCGCACGTGAGCGCGTGACTAGCTCGAACTGGCGACGCGTCGTTTACTGGTTGCGTTACATCATCTCGGACTCAACCCCATCTCGGACTCAATCCCATCCAACAAACATGCGCAAATCATCACAAGCTGGCAAGGCCACGGGTGGGTGGGGGAGGCGGAGGGGAGGCGGAGGGGAGGTGGTGGATAGCATGGATCGTGAGGATGGAGGAGTGAGTAAGGTCTTTTTGGAGGGTAGAGATCGGGGGATAGCGAGGAGGGAATGGGTTGTGTGATAACGAGAGTAGCGTCCGCACGTGAGCGCGCGACTACCTAGGTAGCTCGAAGCTCGAACTGGCGGCGCGTCGTCTGCTGGTTGCGTTACATCATCTCGGACTCAACCCCATTTCGGACTCAACCCCATCTAACAAAGATGCGCATATCATCACAATCTGGCAAGGCCGTCCACCATTCTTGCGTCAGTATCGAGCAAGCATACCTGGGTAATGTGCTCTCTAACCATAGATGACAGAACGGTTTCTCGGAACAAGATGTATCCGGACCAGAGGCGGCGTGGGTCTGCTTATGAGAGAAGCGCGGAAATCTTCCGAGGCACTAGGTAGCATTACGAAGGAGCTCGTTTCTAGTGTGTTGTAGAGTCTGTGCGGATTTTGGTGATAGCCTACAACACACCAAGAACGAGCTTCTTCGTAATCCGGCAATATATCTTGGCACTATTGTCATAGTAAAGCCTCTTCTCGCGATTGCTAAGCCGGTAGTATTGCAAAGCTGGTAGCCGAAGCATCAGACATGCATTGGATGAACGGTACCTGATCATGTGTTCAAGTAGGGAATATAAACACTCTGCCACCTCACGATACACGAACAAAGAAACTCACACTCAACACCTCTCTGACAGTCTCCAATCACTTCTTTCTCAGCATCTCAATGGCGGAATATCAGAACAAAGCGGCATGGCTACCAGGCGTAGGGAAGCAGGTCGAAATCGGTCCTGCCGACATCCCCGAACCGGGCCCAGAGGAACTTCTCATCGAGGTAAGGAATGTGAACGGGGAAGCCAGTTCATATTTCTGACAAACGACATGATGACAGGTCAAAGTGGTCGCTGCCCAGCCAGCAGAATACAAGATCCAAGAGGGAACACTCCCGTATCAGCTGAATTACCCCACTATTATTGGAAGTTAGTATCCGTTTCTAGCAGAGGGGCCTCCGCTATAGAACACGGTTGCTAAGCCGAGTGCAGTATCATTTTCTGGCGTGGTCGTCAAAGTTGGCACGGAGGTCAGCCGCTTCAAGAAGGGCGACCGCATCGTCACCAACAGCGCGGGAAGTATCCGCAACGATCCCCGATTTGGAGCATACCAGAAATATGCGGTTACCACGCAAGAAATGACAGCGAAGGTAAGGGGACGAGATGTCCAGCTCAAGGCTCGCGATGTAACCAACTGTCTGCTAACAACATGGCCTTGCAGATTGGACAAGTGTCCTTCGAAGCTGCGGTATCCATCTCCAGCCTGGCCTATCCTGCCAGTGCACTTTTCATACACCTGCACCTTGAGAAGCCAGCAGAACATCCCAACCCCGAGAACAAGAACAAGAAGGTGCTTATCTGGGGCGCTTCTTCTTCTTTCGGCGCCTATGCAACCTATCTGGCTGCTAGAGCAGGTTACACAGTAGTGGGCGTTGCGTCTTCCAAGAATGCGCAGCTTGTAAAGTCCTTCGGTGCTGTGCACTTTGTCGACAGGAAATCACCGACAGTAACGCAAGAGCTTATAGATATAGGACCTTTCGAGACCGTCTTGGCAGCTGCGGACGCTGCCCAGGATCAGTCTGTGTTGGGAGCTGTTCTGGCTGCGCACGGAGGGGGTTCTTTTCTGTCGACAATGGGCTTGCGGCCGGGTGTGGAGCTGCCCACTGGAGTTCAAGGAAACTTTGTGGCGATTATGGATGTCTACCTTGACCCCAAGACACGCGACTTTACCACGTGGGTGTGGTGGGATTTCTTGGAAAGGGAGCTCGCGACTGGGCGCCTGCAGCCTGTGCCCGTTCATGTTCTCGGTGGCCTGGATATGGTGCAAGAGGCGTGGAATCTGCTCAAGGCGGGGAAAGTAAGCGGTCAAAGACTGTTGATAGCACCTGGTCTTTAGTCACTTCGCACAGTGTGTTAATGGTTGCACACTCGCTCAATGCACGTACTTATGTTGGCTGCGCTTCTACCGTTCACCGAACCGTTGGCATGTTACTATGGAGGAAAATGTTGGCTTTCCTGCTACCGCGAATCTTGAGCCATAAGACCCCGTCAAGCCTCACGGCGTTTCCGTGCCTGTTACTCTGAAACTGATGCCGACACATTACGTGAGCTGAGTTCAAATGTTTGGGCTGGTATAATCACCTGAGCAGTCACAGCCCGTTGCAGCTACAAAATTGGCATGATTCATGACACCTTGAAAATTACATCAGATGGTGATATGAAACCCCGCAGACTTTATTGAACTGTTAATGTGCGTAACAATTATATTGCACTCCCATGTATTGTGTTGTGAAGCGTACCTAGGTAGCGTTCGCACGTGAGCGCGCGACTAGTTCAAATTGGCGGAGGCGCGTTCAAGGTTGTTTGCTAGGTAGCTGCATTACATCATTCTTCGACCCATGTCCATCCCACGAACATCATCATCTCTCCACGAGTTAGCAAGGCTGCCGACTGCCATTGAAAGTCACGTTGGTATCGAGTAATAATCATGTGCTCTTTGCCCCTAGATGACAGAACGGGTCTGAAGGCTTTTCGCATTGCGGGTCTACCGCCGGACTTCTACTATATCCCCAACTTCATTAGTCATGAGGAAGAGGCGTCGATATTGCAGAAGGTATGTTCTCTTCCCGCCTCTGATCTAGTCTACAGATTCGGATATCGCGTTGCACATGGGGAGTTTACTTACCCCGCTTACCACGTCTTTCCCCACATACAATCACCGCGCGTGACTACCACAACCCAGACCACAACTCCCAATCCCAAATTCCCCTTGACATCAACTAACTTCCCCCTCTCCCCAGATCCCCGCCCAAAGATGGACACACCTCACCCACCGCCGTCTCCAAGCCCTCCCCTCAACACTCACATCCAACAACACGCTCCTCGCCGCCCCTCTACCTACTTACCTGACAACACCAATCTTGCCCCGCTTCAAAGACTTGGGCATCTTCCAGCACACGCCGCATGGCCAACCGAATCACGTTCTTGTCAATGAGTATAAGCCCGGTGAGGGCATTATGCCGCATGAAGACGGTGGAGCGTACGCCGAGGTCGTTGCGACGGTTAGTCTGGGAGGGGGGTTGTGCTTGGACGTAATGGAGAAGGGTGGGGATGAGGGAGAGAACGAAGATGGCGGAGATGAACATCACTCTCAGTCTCTGAACGCAGACGCAGACGGAGAAGAGCAGGAAACCAAAGAAAACAAACTCACCCTTCCAACCCGCATCTTCCAGGAACCCCGCTCCCTACTCATCACCACGGGGCGAGCCTACAGGGAGCTTATGCATGGAATCTCTTCTATCAACATCGATGAAGATTTGAACGCCGAGACGGTGGCGAATTGGAAGTTGTTGAGTGAAGAAGGCAGGAAAGGGGTTGAAGAGGATAGCGGCAGGAATGTGAGGGGGACGAGGGTGAGTCTGACGTATAGGGACGTGATCAAGGTTAGTAGGGCGGCGAGTAGGGTTTTGGGGGGGATGGGCAGGCGGTAGGGGGGTAGGGGGGAGGATGGATGAGAAGGGAGGGAGAGGTGGTGTGGATGGATGGCAGATGGATGTTTGAACGTGTTCATGATCTCCTCTAACAACAAAGGAAATGCCAACTACACTTATATACACCACTCCCTCTTACTCAGCGCATACCCGCTTCCAACATCTCCACCAAGTCTTCAATCAGCAAGCTCCCTACTGCTGATTCTTAGCCGGCCTATAATGTCCCGCCAACTCCACATCCTCCGTACTCCTATCGCTCTCCCTCCTCTCCTCCTGCACCTTATCCGTCCTCTGCGCGTTCTTCGCCCTCACCGCCTTCTTCCTCCTAGCCTCACCCACAACCATCGCCGCAACCCACACTAGCCACATAACCGCCGCAATAACACCATACGCAATCGCGCCATCGCGCGAGTTATCCGCCAGCAACAATCCCAATCCACCGTTGATCATACCAAGCGTGATCGCAATCCGGCCAACCCAGATATGCGCGTAGGAAGTAAGAGTGCGACGCTGCGTCTTCTTGAACAAGATGTGGTGTAGGGTTCCGAGGAAGGGCATGAAGAAGACGAGGCAGAAAACGAGGATACCGATGATGGCGTGGTAGCTGGAAATGTAGTGACCGCCGCTAACGGGAAGAGCGAGCCAGATACCCATTCCGAATGCCGCGATGTATACCATGTAAGCCAAGATCTGGAAACCAGCGTGCAGCCACACGATGCCTGGGAAGGACGCCAGGCGAATGGCGATGGCGCCTGAGGGGAAGAGGATGACGAAGGCGAGGGAGGCGAGGACGCCGTGCGCGATTAACATGGTGCGTTTCTTGGAGGGGCTGACGGACGCGCCGGAGCTGATGGTTTGGACGGAGTTTCCGCCTGTGGCGCCGCCGTTGGGCAGGGTGTCGCAGTAGGGGAGGTCGTCGTCGTCGTCTTTGCCGCCTTTGTCGGGGGAGGGCGAGCGCTTGTCTCCTGGGGGGCCGTTGGGGCGCGATGTAGGACGAGAGGTTGGGCGGCCGTAGTTGTCGTCATCGTCGTCGTCGTCGTTGTTGCTGCTGGTCTGGCTTGGTCTAGCGTTACCTGTGCCTGCGGCGCCGGAGGGGCGCTGGCGGCAGTTGGTTGGTGTTGCGCCGCCTGTTGTGCCGGTTGGTGAGGTGTTGACAAGGGGGTTTACGCTTGAACCGCCCTTTGCTTGGGCGAACTGCCAGTCGAAGACACCTTGGTTGGAGTGCTGGTCGATTTGCGCAGAGGTGGAGTCATCGTTCTTGGGTCCGCCAGATGATTGGTAGGCGAAGATCCAGCTCCCGCTGTTTCTGGTGAAGTCCATGGTGCCGCCAGACCAGGAGTTGCAGTTTGAGCCTGCGTCACGTGTTAGCTTGTGTCCTTATTGTGGAAATAATGAGTCTTACATCTCACGTTCGCGGTCATGACACCGTTTGAAACACCAGAGCCTTCGAGTAGAGTGACTTGAGCAGCATCGTTGGGGCTCGGGGGCTGGTAGCTGGTAGTCGATCGCGGTGATAGTGTAACATTGTTGCCAGATCCTGAAGTGTACACGACGAAGATGTTGGAGTTGGGCATGCCGCTGCCTTGGCCGAGCGCAACCCACTCATAGTTGCTTGGGGCTGATATCTGGAAGAAGATGTCTCCTGATCCAGACGATGCTGTGCGCTCGGGTATGTTGAGGCCATAGCATACACCGGTAGAAGGGCAGACACTGGCTACTTGCGCTGTGGCTTGGGAGGCTAGATAGGGTTAGCACCGTGGTAAGATGGGGCCGTTGTTGGGGGCTTACCCAGAGCCAAGAGGCCCATGACCGAACTTGTTGTGCGCTTCATCTCTTGTGCTCTGAAACTGAAAGGTCGTTGAATGATGCTGGACACTCGAGGTTGCCAAAGGGCTCGATGTTTAAGGCTAGTAGACAGCGCCTAGCTGAAAGCGTGGCTTGATGGCGTCGTCTCTAGAGGCGATCACGAAGCTATTGATCTGAGTTCAAGTAGCCAAACCAATAGGAGAAGATGTCTTGAGGTGAGTAAGGGATATGCAGTTCGACAGTGATTCGGCAGCAGAGGACAAAGAGGTTTATAGATGGTGGAGCCCGGATCACCCGCCTTCCAAGATGCACCTCCAAGCCCCCAAGAGAGATGCTGACAGAAGCATGGCTACGTACACGCAACCTGGCTTAGTTTGGTGGAGGTAGGTACCTCGCAGGCACAGGTGAACCCAACGGTATTACTGCTGATGTGTGGTTGGACAAGCGTGGCCGAATGCGGCGGCTTTGCGGAGAGCCGTCAGTCACCGGCTGGGCATAGCAAAACACCGTGAGGACGTCGCGATATGACAACACAACTTGTGCAAGCAGTACGCGTCACGAACGCCAGAGGGCCGCGATAACAAGTGAGATCTCCCGCCTGTACATGGTGCAGGGTCTGGCGCAGAGAGGTGGTACCAGTGAGGGCCAGCGGACTCAACGTTCGGCGCGGCTTGGCTGGACGCGTCGTGGTGGCTATGTGCAGGGCCAAACAAGTAAGTTGCATCCGGGCGAATGACACGCCAGCTATTTTGCAAAAGTAATGTCCCGGCGCGGGGGCACGCTGGGAACGGCGGGCATGTCAGTTCACGTAAGGTTGGGAACAGATGTGGTCTCGACGGTCGCGGTCTTGGTGCCCGCTCTTGTGGGCCCTCCTGTCCCGCACGTCCCTCGCCTTGGATCTCCCAACACCCAATTCCAGCGACCGCAATTCCAAGACATGTCAGCAACATGCGTCGAGATCCAGACTCCCATGACTTCATCCTCGAGCTGGGCACACTCTTACAGGAGCATGCTGTCCAGGCTGTGCTCGTCACCGTCAGCCCTCGGTCATCGGCCTAGTCGAATTCCTCATCGGAGATTCGGCCTGTTTCTCATATTACGGTGTATACGCGACATTGTTACCACTGCATGGAATTGCCTTCTACTTTGGGATCCATCGCACTGCAGCTGCATGAAGTCCGGTCGGTTTCACGTGGCGCTGTTCATGTCTCGATAGGCGCAGGCTGGTGGCTTGCAAGCGTGGCAGCCTCAGCCCTGAGGGACCGCGTCAGCTCGGAGCGCGAAACCTTGGATTCCAGGAAGTAAAATCAACACCATCGGCGTCTTCTGGCAAGAACCACCGAGGCATCACGATGCCAAGCTAGCTGCTTTCTCTCAGCATACGTCGATGATGAGTTATCGACATCTTGTTGCGGGGTTGCTCGATCGCGAGAGCCTTCGGAGTTAAGTGTGAGGGCCGATAGTGAGTTGTCGCACGAAGTCAGCACCCGCCGCCCCAATCTTTCACATCAATCGTCTCACCTCCGCGCACCTCGCCGTCTCCTCGCAGTTTGTGCTCGAGTGCACGTCTCTCTTCTCGCTTGCAATTCACGATCAACGTGTTTTTCGATTCGGTTGTTTTCCTCTCCTAGCACCGACAAAGGCCCTTTTCCTCATCACAACAATCTTGCAGCAATCACGTGTTGTCTCCTGCACTGCCACTTCCAAGTTTCTTACTCACCCAGCCAATCAGCACCCCGGCAGCGTATGTCGGTCGAGAAAGGGCCGAGCAGAAATCTGGGGTATTACCGTCCGCTAAGGAGTAACATCCGGCCGTAGCGGTAGCGAGCAATGAGCATCATACGATGCCTGCGATTCCAAATTCACATTGCTGCGCCTCAGGCTTAGAGTACATTGGGAGTGAAGCTGCCAGAAGAAGAGCTAGGCTGACAACTGGAAGGCTGTGGTTGGTGGAAGCTCATGGTGGGTAGTTCATCTCCTTGTACATCGTCAAAGTGCTGTACAGTCATGATTGAGAATTCCTTAGTCATGGTCAACATGAGGGAGGTACACCTCTATGTGTCGTTGCGGTCACCGCAAATCGCTCGGCGTGACGGCGCGTCTTCATCTACGCCACGGTCGAATTTCATCAACGAGCACTCCACCTTCTCCTTCTGAACACCAGGTTCGGCGGTTCGAGTCTTTGAGAAAGTCAGAGGCGGTGAGCAGTCCTCCTTCCGTCGAGATTCGAGCGTTATGCTTTGGCCAACACTCTCCCAGTTGTCGCATGTACCTACTTCTTGAGTTCTGACATTTTCGTCCGTGCTACGATCAGGGCTAGCGGGTACCTGTCCCTCTGGAAGAGACTCTTTGGGTTTCGGAGTCTCTTCCGCACGTGCTATTGACTTTCACTTTGAACTTATTAGATGGATGCCGAAAACCAGAGCCGCTCGACGAGATCGCATAACTTCTAAACACCAAAGACCACTCCAAGCAATATACCTGTTGCATCTACGACGCGCTCAGTAGTCTGCACTAACTCCCCCGCATTCTTGCCTTTTCTCCGAGCGTGCATATTCTGCGTATATTAGCGATCATCCGGCAGCTGCATTTAGCCTTCCGCATAGTGACGGCTAGTCACACCAGATGTCGCCTGCATCACTCAAGATTTCCTTCTCTCCGCGACCCTCATTTGCGTCTAGAGTGCCTCAGGCGTCATGTTCATATGTTGTGAGAGATCGCATACAGTGCGATAGATGAGATGTCGCCAGGTCAATACCATCAAGACCACATAAAACGGCCAGCCACTTGTCCCCAACACCAACATGTAAACAAAGCATACACGTAGCTCCACAGCATCGCAACCACCACGATGTTACTCCCCACCCTCCTCTCCCTCGCCATCCTCCTCACAACCGCATCCGCCCAAACCACCAACCCCCCAATCCGCTACATGCCCTTCGGCGACTCCATAACCGAGATAATCTGCTGGCGCTCCAAGCTCTGGCAGCGCCTCCAAACCACGCCCTTCAGCTCCTCCACCGTCGACTTCGTCGGCAGCGGCAAAACCGAAAACAATTGCCGCGACACTACCTACGACCGCGACAACGAAGGCCACTCTGGTTTCCTCGCTATCGACATCGCGAATAAAGGGCAGTTGGATGGGTGGCTGAAAAGTAACCCTGCGGATGTGATCACGATGCATCTTGGCACGA